GAAACAAATATTTATGAACAAGTACTTAAAATATTCAAATTTTTTACTAGTTATTACAATGAAGTATGTGTTTATTGTTTGATGATAATTAAATTTGTTTGAAAGTTACGAAACATTTACAGTGGCACATTAAAAACCAGCTGATCACAAACTAGACCAGTAGAATTATGAATAATATATATAGCATTCTGGTAATACTTAAGGCGAACTACGGTATCTCGTGTCTGTGGAAATAGCTGGTTTTTTAACATGAATTAGCATGAATATTGATATATATTTAATATGCTGTTAAGACAGTAATTTTGAATAAAGTTTTTAACTTAATCAAAAAGATAAGAAATCTTTATGTAATATACCATGCAACAGCTATATTTCATATATAAATTAATAACCTAAATGTATGCCTATACCAGGCTGACCTTTTGTAATATATTATTTGATGAAATGAGAAGGAAGATGATGTTGAAAGGGATTGGTTGAAAGAAAGAAAAATTAAAAAAAGAGACATGATTTTAATAAAATCAGGAAAAGAATCATAAAATGGTTCCTCATTCAAAAGTATTTAGAATTTATTTATAATAGAAATAAAGAAATAAAGTTACTTATATCTATTCTAATAAAAACAAGAAAAAAGTATTAATAAATAATAAAGAAATCTTAAAAACTTTATTTATTTATCTATTGATTCTAATATTTATATGAAATAAACAGAGTTCTATTTTGATCCTTTGCTTTAAATAGCCCACTGCTAACTAATAATAGCACATGAATTTCCTACTCAATATTTTAAAAGTGAAGTAGGCAATTATCTTACTATGACACATCTGATTTGTGTAAAAATATAAGCAGCATGCACAGACTACAGCATAACAATAACCATAAAGGAGTCAGTGAAGGGAACAAAGACAAAATGGTGCCTGAACTACAGACATATTGTCTGTATTCAGAATTTCTAAGGCACGCTTTTGGTAAAAATAAAATATAAAAACAATTGCTAATTTGCAGCAAAGATTTTTTTCTTCTTAATGATTCCTTTAATTTTGTAAATGCTTCAAACGCTTATTGGATAATGTTTTCATCAAACATAATTTCAAGGGAAAGGATAAAATCTTGGAAATTATACGCCCACATGTTATTCAAAGGGTTCATTCAAAGCCATTTCACTGCAATAAGATAATGGTGCTAGCCTACAGTGCTGTCTAGAAATACATAAGTATATTAATAGTTAGTTAAAAGTTCTATATAGGAGATAATGAAGTGCACAAAATAAAGCTGATCAAGTCATAGTTCAATAGCCTTACCAAGACTATAATTATTTGAATGTCAAATGTCCCAACACAATAGTCTGGATATTAAAGTATAATGTTTAATTTACTGCTTCTGAAATCACTGGTATATTTAATAAAGTATTCTTGGACAATCAAGCAATGTGAAAAAACAAATACAGAACCTGTTTCTATATCACTTTAAAATACTCATCGTAGACTTCCAACAATTCCAAAATATTTACTATAATGACAAATCTTTATACAATAATAAAACTGTGCTGAACTAAACATCATTTGAACTTCTTCAAATATTCTTTGAATGGCATAAGGGGAAATTTGGTTCATATTCTCAAGAGCATTTGATTATTTGCTTCAGGTGTAACTAGCTTGAAGCTGAAAAGGTCTATCTAACGAAGGCTCAGTTCAACACATCGAGTCATAGCGCAATAAATTAGCATAGACTACTCAAAACCTCATTGACAGTGCCAGTACACGTTTTGACCTTATATAACCTGCTAGAATTATTTCCTATTAGGTAATACATAGCAGCTCAATACTAAATAGCACTACTTCCTATTTTAAAATGCGTCAAATTAACCATTGCAAAATACAGAATACTGTTTCAGCTTAAGAAAGAAGCTAGTGCAGACAACAATATACTTGTGAGATTAGGTTGAGGTCATGTATTCTTATTCTATTAATTGATTAAATCTCAGATTATGAAAATGAAAAAATGGAAAGGAAAGATGCAGTTCTGGAAAATGAATGGGAAAAGGTTAAGTCAGATTTTCTATCCTAAAATTTAGATAATGTAGAAATAATAAAGGCAATGTTCATCACCTAATTGAAAACCAAACATTAATTTCAATTTTTCGAAGTCTGATACAATCCAAACAGAAGCAATATTCTATAACCTTGGTAACATAAATAGCGAGGAACAGTGGTAACATATATTTATATTTTTAACACAAAAAAAGCTGAAATTAGAAAAGAAGAGCAGTCCTTAGTAACTTCATGATATAAGTTCTTGCTTGGCATCATGTTCGAAAAAATTATATCGCTAGACACTTGGTGAATGCCATAACCCATGCCTTAGCTAATTCATCATTAGTATATATGATGTTGATACAATTTTTGACAATTTTGAATTTTTTAATATCCTTTGGTTATTGTAGATTACATGTATAGTGAAACTATCACTTTCAGAAAAGATGATCCGTTGTTTCTGCAAATTGTGTTCCTCGGTATGGTTTTAATAGCCAGAATAACATTTTCAAACTGAAAGTTTACAAAGTGAAAGTTGATTATCAGCGACCTTCGTAATCAGCAAAATAGTGTGCAATTTGCATTGCATCTTCTATTACGATGACAACTTCATGGCAAAGTTCATACAATCAAGATCTCTTCAAACACACGAGCTATATCACAAGTGTGGTTCGTGGTAACCAACTAAGGGCAATGTCCAGTGGTCAGCTGGTTTTATAACACAAAAAAACTACCAATAAAATACATAAAATGACAGAGAATTCAATTTGTCTGTCATCAAATGTCTGCCCAAGGTGCTCAGCTTCATTAAATCTTTTCAACATTGTAATGCTTCAAATATAAACATCTAAGAGGCTTAGTAACGCTGTCAAGGACTTATTTATCATTGCTTTTTAGGTTACATGTACTTAATTCCAAAATTTGAAATACAATGCAATATAATCAAAGAGAAAGAATAGTTAATCCAGTTGCTCATGTGCTACATGTGTCAAGATGTAAACAGTTTTTTAATTATGTGGACATGAAAGGCCAAAACAAGTATAAAACCCAATTATCTTGAAGTCATTTAGAAATATACTCCAGAAAAATGGTTAATAATGTTTCAAAATATAAGTTCAGATTTCTGAGAACTTACAGAAAAAAAGCCAAAATCATAATGCTTTGGCTCAGTCTGGGTCATTTGTAGAACAAGTAAAAACAAACAGTCATTTTTGCCATAGACAATTAACATAGATCTGTGGCATACTTGAAACAGCCAAAACTGAAATCATAGCAATGCAAATTCGTGTATGTGTTCCTCAAAGGCTAAAAGTGGAATCAGTCATGGCAACCTACAGCAATAAGAGGCCTTGTTTATTTTGAAACCTCTTTGAAAAAGAAAGGTTTCGTTTGTGGAGAATGAAATGTGTATTTGTTTAGCGGATCGGAGGGCACAAGAATCAAACACTTTACATAAATATGAAAAATTACTACATAACTGTTGGGCAGAACAACTTTTCATCTCTAAGTAAGAGAGCCATAAATCGTGGGTTGATGGCAATTTTATTTAGTTACATCTCTGAGTAGACAACACTCCGGAAACTAATTATGAAAAACCGAAACTCCTTGTGCGAATTTCTGAAGGCAAAACAATAAAATACAAATAGGTTTTTTCAGACAAAGATAGAATTTTTGTTTGCTTGATCGGTCACAAATCCTTAGAAACAAATTAAAGATATGGTCGAAATCTGAAACAGAATAAGTATCGTTGTTGAATAACGAACCAAAAACCTTTAAATTGGTCGACATTTAACAGACGAACGCGTTACGACTCGAGTATAATCGATCAAAAACGACAATCGAACATAGAAAGACCTTGAATTGGCTACGGGTAATAAAAAAACAACAYCCGAGCTTTTTCTATGTGTTTACCAGTTTCAAACAGGTATTGAGAACAGTTAAGAAGTGAGTCTGATACTGGAAAAAATCGCACTTCGATACACAGGATAAATGAAATTTGAATCCCAAGTTGCACTAGAAGGGATATGAAATTACATAAATTATTATGGTCAAAAACAAAAAATCGACACGTTCGACAACCGTAAAAAAATGTAATAAAAGCACCAAAGCACTTTACACGATCATATCCAAATGATAATTTTACAGACAGCAATTAAGAAATCAGTACGTAGAAATTAATTCATTCTTATTTTAAACATCGAGAAAGACTGAATTGTGAAGAGAAGGATATTTATAGTGCTATGACCGATTCGAAGGTACGACCAGTGGAACCAAAAAATCAAGAGTACTAAATAAATTGTTCAACTATACAGGAAGAGATGTAAATTTAATAAAGACGGATTTTGATAAAGTACTCTTTTCTGAATTGAACTTAACTGCATGAAAAGCTTCAAAGATGAATTTTATGGAGGGTCCTGGAATTATCGACGGAATATGTAGTGCAGTTTTTATTCCAACGGAAGAGGGTAGATCGAGGGGCGGTAAAAGAGAAAGAAATATGTATTCAGTATAGGTTAAATATTATCCTGTGTACTACCAAGGCAAGCTTTGTCTATCCTATGAAAAAAATGGCTTCGCTTGCGTAATTTCCGAAGCATCTCTCCAGCAACCCTTAACCAACACAGCTATAAATATTACGAGTTTTGTGTCGCCATATTGTTCAAGACAAAACAGAATGACGGCAAAAAAATCACGCCAAACTTACCCTTTACTGGAAACACCATACAAGTATGAACTGCTCATGTAGGGGCTCGCTTGACTTTGTGTCATAGTTCTAAGAAAGAGAAGTAAAGCCTAAAAGATATAGGCAGTATATTAGCCCCAATATGCGAGCCAGTAGTCTCGGGTGATTTTGGATCCGTACATCCACAAAACACAGAGAAATCTTGAACTTCCCGTGGCCCGAAAATTCGGGTTCACACCGTCCACAATTCGATTCAAAATACTCTAAGATAGTCAGTTATTTCTAGACCAACTGTAGAAGTCTTGAAAACTTCTTAGTTATCACTCTGGTCCTACATATTCAGTGGACTTTTTTTACAATACAAAATACACTAAGCCCGAAGACTCTCATCCGCCAACATTTGGAGAGCTTTTTTTTGCAGCTGTGTGACGCACAAAGCAAACCCACGTGATTCTCAACTACTTCCTCAAGTTGTGATTGGGTCTTTCCCCGTCAATCATCTCTCTCAAATATTCCACCGGAAATGGATTGCTCGGATTATTTCATAGGACGGTATCTCATATAGCATATCATAAACTCTTATTCAGAAAGGCGAATGAATTAAAGGTAGCTGTAAATTGTCCCTTTTTTCGTAAACAAACGAATATCCTTTATGCTTTTCAAACTTCGATTGCTATGAAATACTTTTTAAAAATGTAAAACGTCCTATTTTTATACTGTTTCGTACTAGATCAACAAGAGGATTCTCTAGATATCAAACATTTGCAAAAACCGACCAACTTTACCTAACACATTATTATTAATTTTCGGAAGTTTCCTAGTCTATTCTCATTTTAAAATTGACACATTAGACTTTGATATCTAAATGGGGATTTCCGGAATCTTTTTAGATAAAATGGTGTTTTTCTTGATCGCTATCACATATAGCCTTTGAAGTGTATTTTTGTACTTGAGAAGGTTTAACGTTCAGAACAGTACTTGTTTATTGTTTTGTCATCATTTTTAGTACCTAATCGCGGTATAGTAGGCCAATCTGACTTTAAGGGAAATACTCTGAGGGAAGGAAGTCATATATGTACTGGATTAAGAATCATGCAGATTGACTGGCTCAACTGTGACGACCCTGATCAAGTGGCCTGATGTCACTCAGCCAGTCCTGTCCCAGGACCGAGTAATCGGTCACTGAGAAATAGATACCAGTCAATATATATCGTAGTATAAAAAACAAGCAGAAATATGTTATATGATGATGAGAGATGAGGCGGTAAGCCGTGTGGGATGGGCTCGGAAATCATATAAGAACATGCCCAATAGGTAAATTACGAGCCTTGTATATGAAACGACTGAAGAAGAGGGCCAATGGGCCTTTCACAACTTCAAACTTTCCACGGTTTCTAGTTGAGTTGGCTCATTTTTTACGCGACTTGAAGTCGTGAAAAGCCCATTGGCCCCCTTCTTCAGTCGTTACATACAAGGCTCGTAATTCACCTATTACGCACGATATTATTATATGATGATGATATGTTGCCCTTCAGTAGGTAGGGAGACAGTGGCAGCTTCGACAGACAGCCAGTTTAGATCAGAACTGGTCTCTTGACCATACTCGTCGCATGAGACAGGCAGACAGCTAGGCAGTGTCTCTTATCAATCAAACGGTCATGCCACAAACAGGACCATGCACAGCACACAGGCCGCAAGCAGGCAGACTTGCAGCCGGGGGCGAACACAAACACAGACACGGTTTGGGTTCTTTTAATATCGCGGGATCAGAAAATGTTCACGCCGCAGTTACTGGTTATCGCCTGCACATACACCACAGCTATAAACCATCTCAAGCCATGAAAAGCGCGGGCCAACTTTCGGCTTTACTCGGAAGCCCAGCAGCCCAACTAATATACTGTGTTTTTATGGGGCCGGACTAGCAATATAAATGAAAAATATTGAAACAATACTCAAGAAAGAAAGAAACAAACAAACAAACAAACAAACAAACAAAGAACGTAGGTTAGCATAACCCTTTTGTGAGCGACCTTCGGATTAGAAGGGGTCGTATAATGGAGCAACAGTTTAATAGTGTACTGTGTGAACTATGAACTATAACATGAGAATTTAACAAGAAGATCGAGGTAAACTCAGATATATCAATTCCTCAAAAGTAAAACATCTGTTCAGGCGGCAATGGTTGATTTTGGTTTTCAGAGGGACCCCGCAGTTGAAGGACTATGAAAACCACGCAACTCAACAAAAAAGATTCATGATTCTATGTGCTTGAATTTTGCGGACTGCGCAAATAATGTTAATGAATTTAGTGTGGTATATTTTTCATTATTTTAAAACTTTTTTATGATTATTTGACCATTCACATATTTTTTGACTAGACAGTATCTTCAAGCGCCGTTATTTTGGCATCAATGCATATATATGAACCACGAATAAAAATCAATATTAGTCGTTGAGCGGCAAAATAGTACAAACCAATAAATACTACGATGTATAAATAATGTATTAACGAATTTCCTAAGGCACCAATTCCAAGCTGTGAAACTCCACACACCAAAACAAGGAATATTTTTGATTTCAAAAAAGAGTTTACATTTCATGGTGCAATGGTGACGTAGTTTATGACGACTTATTTTCTATTTTTAGCCTTCAATGGTTCTATATTTAACTTATTTGCTTCCGTGGGGCTTTTTAGAGTCTTAAGCACTTATAATGGCAAAAAATAGCCCTTTGCTGATATATATTTTATCGCCTTTTTTATTATTTTATTTATTTCCATCGACCTTTTAAATTTTGGCATTTGCCTTTTTGTTAATGATTGTATGGTCGCCAAGACCCAGTTCGTGATGTCACGTATTCATTCCTGACAAAATTGAATACTTTGAAAATAAAAGTCAATTTTTCATGATACAGTTTGGAGATTGTAAAATATAACAGTGCCTTAATCGAAACTAACTGAATTACCATTAACAACGTCATATCCATTCATCGGGAATAACTTTTTCATTATGCCACTGATCTATTTCAATAGCTGAGCGTTCTGTTTCACATTTTGTTTTCAATTATTAGAAGGGAAAAAAAGAAGTGTGCCATATATCGCTTGGCGGATAATTTTTCTTTCGGCAAAATCCAAATACTCGGCCAAGATACGAAAAACGTATGTGATACAGTGGACGATCTTCAAACCAATTTGTAGCCGTCTTTCGCGAATGATCAACAACTATACTACATTCGATATTTCCGCTGTTCTTAGTTTATCTGATGTACGCGGCAAAGTCAGGCTGGGGCCTTTCTGAAGTATAAATTTCAATACTAACTATATAGAGAGTGAAGAACTAAAACCTTACCTATAAGTGGTGTAATATTTCAAAGAGTTATCCACCATGTCATTAGTGTTCCAGTGAGACGACAGGAGTGCATAAATATATGTACATAAAAGGCATCACTGCGAAAGCCACAGAGATACGAAAAGGTTAACTCCAGGTTAAAATTTATCCGCTAGACCAAAACAAATAAACGTGCGCGCTATAGTACTGATTATTAAGTGGACGCGACTGTATTTGTGTACGTGCGGCTTTAAACGCAACATGATCCAAAAATTCACATTCATTGTATTAAATTTAAAAATTACGTATTTTACGAAGGAAAAAAAAATTAGAAATTGGCCTATACTATCACTTGTTATATTTGTTGTTTTTCTGTTAGATTTTAATTTCAAAACTGCCGACATGTAGAAAATGATTTTGTCAATAGTAATGTAATAGTTTTTTTTAAAACGAAAACAGACACGTACCGAGGTAGAGTTATACTGGTATAAGATAGAGTGCAAACAATATAACCGTGAAACTCTAGTAATACTAAATAGCACAATTTCATGCAAATTCCTTTGTTTTCTATTGTTTAATTAGCACTATTTTGTACTATTAATTGTTTGCACTCTATAGTAGATTGAAGTGCTGTAGAAAAGTAAATAAATATAAAGAGTGCATTATAACATGAATGAGCGAGGACTGTGTTTGTTATAGTGAGACGTCGGCATATCACGTACACTAGCGTTACTGGTAATAAAGGAGCATAACAAGGAACACTATTACAAACGAGATGACCCTGAGTACATGACTGGTGAAAATGAAAGCATAAAGAATGAAAGTATTGTTTAAAATCCTCTCAATAACCTCTTGGATGGAATAATGATTAAATGATGAGGATGATGATTAAATGATGATGATAATCCTTCCCCCTTCCCCTAATGGTTATTAAGATCACTTGGCATTACGTCATTTCGATTTCTTACTGAGTGAGAGGAGAAGAAGGAGAAGGAGAAAGAGGAGAAGACCAAGAGAGCTACAGAATTCTAATTCAACAAATAAGCATTAACTTATACCCCATTTACACCAAGGCTTAAACATGTTTTAAAGTGGTTTAACAGGTTTGGAAAACTATCTACGAACACTACACAATATTTGGTAAAATAATGCATGTAAACTATCCTTTGTCTTGCTCTGACAATATTTTAGAAAGTTTCATTATGTTGTAGGTTTCTAGTTTCTCAATTTTTTTCCTAATGAAAACATAGTTTAACTAAACACGTTTAAGTGTGAATGGGGTATTAGACATATACACTATTTTTTCCATTGAAGTCGATCTTGCTCGCTTTGATATTTATCCCAAACCCCCCCCAAATTGAAAAATCAAATGGTCCATCCCTAAGTGCCAATGTCTAGTCATTATCTTAATTACGCTTTTTTGACTGAAGTTGAAAAACTTTTTACTCAAACATATATTAGGACGGGTTTTTCAGTAAAGTCAATATTTGCCATCCCATACTATATTATTTATAACATTAAAGTTCAATTACATTTGGTAATATCTACAGCTTTAAAGACAACACATCAGATAAGCGGTTGAGATCTCGCATTATCGATGGCAACACGCCTTTTTTTCTCAGTTTGTAAAGCAAAACTGACATTTTTTGACGTTTCTGACAGTCTTTGGAGTCATTTGCTAAGACAGACACGTTTTTGATCTGAAACAGGTGCACAACCGTATGAAAACAAGTACTAATTACTGACCTGCGTAAAAAAAAGCTGGAATAGACCCCTGAGAAACTCAAAGCCTTCCATAAAGCGATGTTTAAGGTCCAAGACCGCCGTTTTGTTCTTCTTAATTTCAAAAAAACTTCAAGTTTATTGTCGATATTTCAAAGTCGTAGATTTATTTAACCCGAGGCAGTACAGTAGGTGGATGTGACAAGAACTCTCAATCCGAGGAAGTATGGTCTTCTTTTTCATTAGAGTCAGCTGGCACGTTTTTGGATGTATTTAATATTCATACTGGCCATGATATTTTTGGCATGTGCCTCTAGCTTGTAGTACGCTTTTTCCGCTTGATCATACAAGCAGAACTGAACTCATATGCCACTCAGTCCTGCAGGCATGGCACAAACGGAATGTTAATTTTGTCAGAATTTTCGGGTGCTTATACGTTATACGCTGGTTGACTATTTCATTTCCTTGTAGAGAACAATTAGTTCTCTTGGATATTATAGGAGCGAACTCTAAATAGAGGAAAGATATCCTATTCTTCGATTGCACGCTTTGTCATCGTGGCCATATGTTGGTGCCATTTAACAAAAGATTTCTCATTAGCATCCATTTTTAACGGTACCACAATGGCCGCCATGCTTTTGTCTTTTAACTCTCTTGGGAATGCTTGCAACCCACCAATAGCGCCACCTTCATTTCTTCCCTCTTAATTGACCTCAGCTAAGGGGTTTCAACAATTCTTACATTCAGTACGATTTGTTTCTTCGTTGCACGATTCGCGTGCTCCGTTGATAGCGCTCTTGCAAACATGTTTGAGGTGGATCAATAAAAAGTATGTCAACTGGGTGGATCCTATTACAGTGCGACTACTATAACCGGGGCCACCTAGACAGCAAAAACCAATCAAATTGCAGAATGAAACAATACATTACATGTAACATCAGAATCAAATTATTATTCTCCTGCAATCTAGGTTTCTGATTGACTCAACTATTCAAAGTGGGAATGCATTGTTTTCATTTTAAATTTTGATTGGTTAGCTGAGTGGCCCCAGTTATAGTAGTTACACTGTAATATTAGACCTGCAGCCCAAATGGTCTATGAGGCCAAAGGCTGAATGGGCTATTGACTCGTAGATCATAAGGGTGAGAGATCTAATTGTTTAAGTCTAAACCTACTAAATATTTGGTATTAGTCAAAGTGTAACACCCAGTGATTAACGACATAGGTTCTTGCCCTAGTAGCCTCACAATGGAGTTTACTTATCAATCATTCTAGTGGAAATCAATATGGGACCATTTTTTTCATACTTTTAAAAAAGAACTGTATTTACATTATGATGTTTAAGGTTTAACAGTCACGAAAAAAATTTATTTCACATGAACATAAAAGTTGTACATATTAATACTTTACAACAGCTTCAACTTTCATTTTAAAGTTTCAACGACCATACCTTGAAACAAAAAAAAAAGTTTTTAGGTTAGGAACAAAGTTTAAAAAATGCTAAATGGTTTTAAAGAGGAAAATAAAAAATACACTGAAATAAGATCTAATGTGTTATCAATCATGGATCTAAACATCTAATAGGCCCTTTGCAGCTAAGCAATCACGTGCTCATTAATGCACTGAGAGCAAATGAATGAACATCTTGATTCCCATGGGTGAAATATACTGGAATGCAAACAAACTTTCTACAACCTGTTTCGAGAGATCGTAATAAAACTACATTTCATAACACACTGATTACACATCGTTTCATTCAGTTCTTCACAAGTAGTTAAAAAGAATCACCAATTTAATATAAAAACAAAAATTTTGCAGTCCAGTACAGACACGTGACCGTTAACTGCAAAGGGCCTATTGCAAAGTTTCATGGGATTTAAAAAAATAACAAGTACTAAGATAAAAACGACTTACTTTTGGAACTCCCATTCTCTGTTGTCTAAAGGACAAACTTGTCTTGTTTTAAGCCATCTTGAAATGCAGTGAAAATGAAAAGCATGCTGTGAAAGAGACAGTAGTTACGTTGCTATTATACTTTCAGAAGAGATTAAATGTTTGACATTGTTCTCAATTTATTGAGGTTTTCCATATTTTGCAAACTTGGTAGTTACAAGCTGAAATCTGAAATCTGTCTTTCACTGCTGTCAATCAAAAATAATCAGTATGTACCTTTTATGTTCTTGATTGGCAGCTGTGGAAAATCAATTTCACAACAAGCTGTTGGAAAGTCTGAGTTCACAGAATGTGGAAAATGCAACACTATTCCTAAATCTTTTTTAAGAAATCTTACGCAATGAAGCTGAGACTCAAACCCCTAAATTGCTATATTGCCTACCCCCATTCCTTACCCTTAGCCTAAACATCTGCTTTATTATGCTTTAGCACAATAATTTTTCAAAACCTTTTGAAATGTTTTTACAATGAGCAAAGTAACAAAATATACAGTCTATTTTGTTTTTCAGTTTTTTTTATAACAATGAAAGTAGTATTTTTCATTGCAAATCCTACCATGAACAGTATCTGATATTTGTTACACTGAGAAAGGACCAACATCTACCTCTCACCACAGTAAGATGACACTTACATTACATACGCCCCAGGCTACTGTGCACTCTTCACTTGTGGCTGATGCTTGATTTGCTTGACATTCAATACCTAGAAAGACATCGAGAGCACAGTCAAACCTCTATTAGCAGCACCCTCGGGAACTAGCTGAATAAACTGTCAGATTTGGTGGCCCTTTAGTCTTGAGGTTCCTTGCAAGTATTCCATCAAAGCTGATAGTTTTTATCGTGTCTATTGCATAATTTTTTCCCCAATCCAGCATCCTAAAAATTGTGTTTCTGATTGGCGGTATTTTCTATCTCTCCCTGCGGTTTGGTGTCCTGTCATTAGGCTTAATGCTTACGTGCATGGGATAACGAATTGTTCAACAACTTACAGAACAAATTAATGCTAATTAATTTCAAAAAAGGTGGAAGAGTAAATCTAGGGAAAAAAACTCAGCTATTAACTGGCCTAAAGTCGGTCCTGATAGTGGAAAACTGTGCCCTTGGCCTTAAAAATGGACCTTGGCCTTCAAAACAGACTTCGGCCTAAGCGCTTCAGTCCATATGTTCAAGAACTCAGGTATAATCATTCCCTATTTGGACTTCCTGGCCAGTAAATAGCCCCAATGTATCATGTTATATTTGATGAGCTGTTAAAAGAAGCTGGACATCGTGCTTAATGTGGTATAACTACATATTGTATACCTGTAATCCTAACTAGATTGGGAAGTTTATGGTGACAGTTGTCGAGTTTACAGTAATATGGGTTACCAAGTGAATCCTCCTCCCCCCCCCNCCCACTCCCCCCCATAAAAAGTAATGGTTTCTAAGTTACGCAACACAGTAGAGCCTAGTTTGATTTGAAATATCTGTCATAAATCTTGTGTTCTGCTGGGTTGGGAACATGCACTTTCAGTTGCATCGTTGCAATCGAAAATGACAGTTATTGAAATTGGTATTTTAAAAAAGAAATTAAAAACTTGCTCACTGTGCTGTGCTGTGTGCAGTTATAATAAGTGCTTGAGGATTGGCAGAACACTTGAGAAGTGTTGAGAACCACTCCACTATGTGTCATGCTTCTCCTGACACTTCTCTTGTGTTCTGCCAACCCCTGCCTGCTTTATAACTACACACAGCACAGATGCACATTTTCTATTTCTTCATTATTTGGCTTTTAGTGAAACAATAGCTTTGTGACAGTTCTCAGTTTTGTACGATCATTAATGCATTTAGTTGGTTCAGAAGTCATGTAAAACATCTCAATTTTAACGGTATGAATATAGCTATTACTTATCACTTTAGTTAAATTCTATGAAAAGGAACCTAAAATATGACATTTTCCCGACCTACTTTACACACAGGAAAAGAACCATACTCACACAAGTCCATGATGTGATTTCTACAAATAGCGCAATTATCGACTACAATATCTAGAAGAAAATAGTTAAATCAAATAAATTCAAGCGACTATTTGTCAAAGGAATGATTTTTTTACGCTTTCAAGAATTAGAAACAGTGGTACAATATTTTTATTGTGTTACACTTACCCCAAGCCCATAGAGCAACAGCGTTCCACTAAAAAAAATACCACAATAGTTCAAAAGCAAAATTCAACGGTTTAGCGGTAAAAATTCTCAATAAATTCCATCCCAGGACTTAGAGTCATGACTAACCTTCTTTACTTCAAAGCGTTTCTTGGTAGCAGGGGCTGCAGTGGATGCCTGAGCGGGTTGATCTACGTCCATATCTCCACCTTCGTCCGCCATTTTTGCTGACCTTCTCAAAGAACAGCTCCAAAGAAGAGCCTGGGAAGTAGTATATGAAACGCATGATTTAATGATATCTCTGCTGAGCGCATAATACAAGGGGCTCAGGGGCTCATAAACAAAATATAGAATGAAAATTGAATGCAAGAGATTGTGGAAAATGAGATAAAATATAAATATAAGTAAATACGGTGCCGTTGAAGATGTGTAGTTTAAGTCCTCAAGTCCGTTTGTTAGCAAATCTAAGGGTCACAAGAAGAGCTATTGGGCCGTTTTGTGGGGTTACCTCCAAACTTCATGCAAGGAATCTTTCTTCTGTTCTTTGTGTTTCTTCAATACGGATAAAGAATGTTCGTTGTTATGGAACGGTTCTTGAAGGGAAGACAGTCAGGATTGGATGTGCTTCGGGTTTTTGGGGAGATTCAGCTTGTGCGGGTAAAACGATCCACCAAATTTCTTTTTAACTTCGTCTAACTTTTACTGGTTTCAATTCCGTGGCATGAAAATCTTGTCGATGATTATCCATACCTGTTTTGTTTTTCTTTCAGCTCCTCAGCTTGTTCGTGGAGGTAACGTGGATTACATAATGTTTGATTACCTCTCTGAAATCACCATGTCGCTGTTGACTGCAGCAAAACACAAATCACCTGTAAGAACCATAGTATTTTCTTGTTTGTTTTAATTAAACTAAACCTTAATTTAAAGTTAATTTAGTGTTGAAATACGTGTCAAGTTTCTCCTGTCTCTCCACACTTTGTCATTATTAACCAATATCGTAGGGACGATGAAGAATTACCACTGAGGAAGTAAAGGAACCCAGGTAGTGACCACCCTTGGTGCCTATAGCTATACCTTATACTTACCACCTCTAATTCATGACTCAATATAAAGCACCATTTAACATATCCATATGGAGAAGAGCACTATATAAATCATAAATCATAAAGCCATTTTTAATAGCTATGGCACAAGATTTGCTCTTCTATATGAGTCAAACAAAATAAAATTATAAAATCACTCATACAAAACTCAATTTTTAGGTACTTGGTTACACTCCAGATTTCATTGATGTAGCAATAACACCACTAATCAAAGAAATAAAAGAGAAAGGTACAGTACTAAACTAAAATGGACTAACCTTTGGCCTGGGGGGGGGGGGGGTACACAACCAAGATTTAGGTAGGGGTGTTCTGCTGGGATTCCGAAAGGGGTACCCTGTTTATGACAAAAAAATGAGAAAATGAACATTAGAATTTCAAATGCTTTGAAAATATGCAAGTTACGGAAATAAAGCTTCACTCAAAGCTCAATATCACTCAAATTACTAAACTGGTCAAAAATCTAAAACCAATGACCAATTCTCAAATAAATTGCCTTTGGTTTAAGCTCCTGTTGAATTTTTTTCTGTCAAAATGTTACAAGAAATAATTTTTTGAAGTTGGAGAAGCAGGTTACAGTAATTCAAGGTCATTTGCTGTGCTCACCCAGGGGGGAGGGGGAATTTGAAGTCATAATAATGTTTTTGGTTGATTTACAGTAAATTTAAAGTAACCATTGGTCTTCCCTCAATAGGGATTCGTTTGATCAGCAATGCAGGAGGTGTCAACCCAGAAGCATGTGCTAGAGCTGTAAAGAAAGCAGCAAAGTCTCAAGGAGTTAATGTCAAGATTGCAGTGGTGTTGGGAGATGATATGATTAATAGAATAGATGAAGTGACCCAAGCTAATGTCAAAGAATTACAGTCAGGACAGGATTTTCCAGCTGGAGTTGTCAGCATGAATTCATATTTGGGGTAATTAATCTCTTAAGTCTCTTAACGACATGTATGATAGACAGTTCTGAAGAAGTAATCCATTTGAGGCACGGAACATTGGCATTACTTTGTGTCAGTGCTATGTGGGTTGGACCCACGACAGCAATAGAGAGAGAAAAAAGAGAGAAATCTCTTAAATTTAAGTTCCTGGGGCATGCCAAGACCATCTTCTACATTGATGTACATTCATGAACTATACTTTGCCTTTGATGTTATGGTACTTCTCTTTTGCATAAACTTGGGTCTCATTATTCAAAGAAGTTCTAGTTTAGCTAGTGCCAACCCCTAATTTCCCTTATTGACTATTTTAGCAGTTGACCAATAGCAGATATTAGGATTATTTTGAACATTGCCTTCAAACGATTGTTGCATTTGGGTCAGTTTCTATACTTTTCTCGTATTAACCCAAATGCCTCAATTTGAAACTAGTGTTTGCAGCCCGGGGGTACTCTTGCCTGTTTAGGGTAGGGATGTGCCGCTGAGCCCACTGCACCCTGACCCTGTTCCAGAGTAAAATCGCTGAAATTCATACCCTGTTCCAGAGTGAGATCGCTGAAAACCATACCCAGTTCCTGTATTGTGAAAATAGATACCCTGTTCTAGAGAGGAGAGAGCGGGATTTCATATACCCTGTCCCAGAGCGAGCGCGATTTTATATACCCTGTTCCAGAGTAAAATCACTGAAAACCATACCCTGTTTGGCGGCACGTACCCGTATAAGCGAATATAGGGGAGTACCCCCCCCCCCCCGGGGTTTGAAGGCAATAGAGAGTGTAACTCTAATAATTATCTGCTATTCCCATTCATCAGCTGAAATATGAATGTATATCACATGCTATGCAAATAGAAACATAAATCTTTTTTCTGTTTCTAAACAGTGCTATGCCTATTGCCAGAGCACTTGATCTTGGTGCTGATATAGTGATTACTGGTAGATGTGTGGACAGTGCACTAGCCTTAGGACCACTCATTCATGAGGTACTACTTGAGGTTCCTAGTAGACTATTCATTAGTTATTAGATTTGCACATAACTATCAGCTATGCATTGATGGGGTTTCAACTAAACTTTGTCTTTTGACTGTGACAAACAACAGAGATACTGTACCTGTAGGGTATATACTGTAGCATGGCCAATGAATGACTGGAAGTAGTTGACAGTAGATTAATTGCATTATTATTTATAGTCTCTCATATAGTTGATTAGCATCAATATTGCCCTACTATTTTCTTGAGGAAAATATTTGAAAGGAAATAAAACTTGCAAAGCATTCTGGTAGTGGTAGTAAATTGACGCCATTCATGCAAACATACCTTGTTGGTTGCCTATTATTGCATGGATAGATTGGGGTGAGGGAGCGGGAATAGACCTACCCTGAATTCGCTTGACTGGTTTCAAGTCAAGGTTGAACTTAATGAATAAAAGAATCAAGTTCAATCTCGACTTCAAACCATTGTTTCGTGGTCAGTCATGCGAATTGGGGATAGGTCTATTAATTAAAATCATTACCTTGTGATGAATCAGTGATCAATTTGTTTGACATTTTATCTCTAGTTTGGATGGCAGCCACATGACTATGATCTCTTGGCGGCTGGAAGGTAATTGAAGAGCTCTCAAATCAACCCTGACTAATTCAAACTGGTTCGAGTTGTGCTCCTGGGCCATACATGGACTGTATAGTGGCTGCCGGAGGCACCTTCACATGCTTTCAGTTCAACCCTATTGAGCTGCGCCACTTCTGTACTTTGTGTTGGTGATTGGCGATGACAATTTTTTAAAATCATTTTGATTACTACTCACATTCAATGTGTTCACATTATTTTAACAGTTAAATTGTTATTTGTATTTCCCCCAGCTTGGCAGGTCACTTGATTGAGTGTGGTGCTCAGTGTACTGGTGGCATATCTACTGACTGGCAAGTTGTTTCTGACTGGTATGTATCACTGACCATTTTCAACAGGCCCATCGTTAGGACCTTCAAAGGGGAGGTTCATTTTTCTACCACTCTTAGTTATGCCATTTCTTGAAAAACTAAAATAGCGCTATTAATTACCTGTATTTCGTACTTCTACAAACAAGGTGGAAGGGGGTTCATTTGAACCATTGAACCACCCTCTAGAGACAGGCCTGTTCAACACTTTATTTCTTTAATTAAAGACTCGCTCGATCAAGGTTAGCCTCATTTCAGTATCAGAATATTCACAAATATCAATGGTTAAGTAAATTTGCTGTAATAACCTTTAAAGGTTCTAATAATCACTGGTTAAAGTTTTTTTCTTGATATTCCAAGGGGAAGTATTACATTTTTGTGAACATATAATAGATAATGTCATAACAGATAGAGAATACAAGTATATGAATATGGCCAAACACTGCTGAAGCCTTTAAAAAAAATACAGGTCTAGAACGGGATTTTTCTGAGATTTTTCTTTAAAGTCTGTGATGTCCTTTACTCAACACCAAGTTTTAAAAATATCCAATGCAATTGTTATTCTTTGTTAACACCTTTCAGGGAGAATATAGGATATCCTATTGCAACTTGTTCAGCTGATGGTAGATGTATCATCAGCAAACCTCCTGGTACTGGTGGCTTGGTGTCACCAACTACTGTCGGAGAACAAGTAAGTTTTTTTTAAGAGTAGCACTTATGACACTGCTGTAAACGAACTAATGTTTTCCTTCTTCAGTTAATCTACGAGATAGGGGATCCAACACAATACATCCTACCTGATGTCATCTGCAATTTCTCACAAGTTACATTACAGTCCCTCATTGGTAAGTTGCAAACCCAAAAACATTTAGAATGAGACAAAGTTTAATTTAGGCAAGGTTAAAATCGAGACAATCCTGGCCAGCAGTTGTTCCATAAGTGGTAGCAATTGGGGATATGGTGACCTGGAAGGATTTGCAGGGCTGGATATACTGTATACATGTCATCCAACCGTTGGCCTTGTTTTGGCTGATAGTAGCAGTCTCAACATAGCAAATCATAGCAGATCTAGAATATTTGTCCCTTCCCCCTCCCCTCCCATGTCGTGTTAAGTAGCAGACAGGTCTAAATTCCACTGATTACTCAGTGTGATGGGTACCAGATGGTGGACTGTGGCAGGGTTACCATGGTGACCTTCTGGAGGGACTTTGACCTGCTAGGTCAGCCCCTCATGACCAGCCGTAAGCTCATCTATTGGAGATGCGCATGCTGTGATTCTCAATATTCTGCAAACTCGGACATTCTACCAGCAGTTGTCGTGAAATCGACTCTTTCTTGCCGCCAATCAGTCAGTACCTTTGATTTATTTTTATGAGTGGCACCAGCAAAAAAAAAAAACAATTTTACAATAAGTGGTTGGATATTTTGAGTTCACAGATTATTGAGAATCGCAGGAGGATGTGTTTTGCTCATGAGAGCAGGTGTTTGTTTAAAGGGAGAGAAGGGAAGGTAAAGATATATTATGCAGCCTCCATGTTGTTTTCCTCAAGCTTACGAAAGTCAAATTATGCTTGTGCACAGATTATAATAATGGGAATAATGGGATATGTACATGTTTTGATCCTCAATCTTATCCAAATGAAATCATACAATTATTGCTGCTCTACATGAAGCCCCTTTGTTTTTAATCGCAGGGTATGAAGGTGGTGGGGTACTTGTACAAGGTGCGCAAGGGGAGCCACCCACAGACATGTATAAGGTAACATGCATATATAGTATCAGAGGATAAAAATGACTCATTTTGGCGTAGTTACCATCCATCCCACAAGAAACTACTTAGAAATGAAAATGTACCTTTCATCTTTTCATCTTCTGGAAGAAAACTGCGAAAAGAAAAATCCTCTCCTCCATTTTCCTGGAGATATGTACTTCCTCCCCCTCCCCCTCCCCCTAACCCCTACCTTCATTTGATCACTAAAAATCTTCTGCTTCAACTCTGGGAAGAACTTCAACCAAAAGGCTTAGTAAGTAATCTAAAAAATGACTCATAGGCAAAAGAAGCTAAATCTATCTGTATTGGTTTAAAAACTTTTAGCTTTAACTTTTAAAAACTGTATTGCAGGTTTGTGCAACCTATGCTGATGGCTACAGGGCAACTGCTGTCTGTCCTGTAGGCGGTCCCTTTTCGTCACTCAAAGCGAAGAAAGTAGGCAAGACTATTATTAACAGGTATGGGAAGTACAGTACTGCAGTTTTAGACAGATTTCATGCAAGATACAACAGGCTGGAATATTTAGATCTGCAGTACTGGATAGACAGCATTTGTTTTCCTCGTCATTCTCGAATCATTCAGTCACTGAGCACAGGAACAAAGCATTTGATTATTTGAAAGACAGGCGTTGTTTTCTAATAAACAGGCATTTGTTATCATTTTAGGACCAGCCGCATGTTCAAAGAAATGGGACTTGAAGACTACACAAGAACACACGTCCAGGTGAAGAAATTGAGTCAGTGGAAACAGTCAGGGGGCGCAGTGCTGTAGTAAACATCCAAGGGGAAGGGGGGTGAAGTGCGTGTCTTTGTTGCGAAAACTACTGGCAAATGAACTGGAATTTATTGAATTATCCATGGATATTTCCAGTCAGTTGAAGTCTATTATCCTGACATAGGATAACAAACATTCTCAGGAAACATTTTTACTTTTCTTGTCAAAAAGCTAATTAATGTGTCAAAAAAAAAACATGGATTGGAAATCTGAATTTTAGGAGCGGCGTTCGCCTGACCTCGCCTTTCTCTTTTCACAATCACAGTTGAATAGACTGTTGAGAGGCAAGGAAGAGATTGATATCTGAGGCAGTTGTAAGGCGGGACATGGACTGTTTTGGGTGAATAAACTAGACTTGCTTGAAGGATGTGAACAGACGTTTATGATAATGACCAAGTTTTGTCTCTCCAGGTGCTTGGATCAGAAGAGACTTACGGGAGACACTCATTTCCGAGTGTCATGTCCGCTGTAAGTTTAATCGCTATGATAGTTTTACGAATGCAGTTTTGGAATGCAGTTGCTGTGGATTCTGTAATGCCCCTATAGACCATTTGCGTGTGACGTCGATCTCGGGGACAAAACAATGAAACAAATTTACATGAGAGAAATGTTTTCAAATCTCAACAGAAGAAAACGTGATATTGTTTTGTTCCCCGGATAGGTAATCAGTGCAAGGGGTCTATTCACAGGGGAAATTTCCCTGCTATTGTCCGACACCTGGCCATGACCCAGTTGGTTGAGCATCGGACTGTTCTGCGAGAGATCGCGGGTGTAATTCCCTAGATGGACCACAGTGGCGGATCCAGGGGAGGGATGCAGGGGGTGCGCACCCCTCCCTGGTTCGACCAATACAAAATAATGTTTTTTCCCTTTGATTCTAAGGGGCACACCCCTCCCTGGGTTAACTATGTGCGCTGTACCTCTTCCTGAACAAATTCCTGGATCCGCCCCTGGACCAACTTGCAACGCCGGCTCAGTGACGCTAAAGACCCACTTGAGTTTGCACCCAGAAATGAACTGTTTTTCCTAATTTTCAGGGTCCCAGAGAGGCAGTTCTGTGGCTAGCAGTGCATCACCAACAAAAACATGCTTTAAACATTTTTGCTCGAGAAATCGCCTCAGCTGGCACGAGTATGGGTAGGTCTCCACACTCCAGACCCTCCCTTCACGATGCAACGGTTTTTTAAATACACATGACTGCGTATACTAGATAACAGAGATTACAGTAAACACAGTGAATATATTAGATAACAGTGATAGCAGTGATATCTACAGGGAATAACAGGATATTACTGTAAACAGTGTGATATATGGATACATGTGTATTCAAGCACATGCATTTGGCGTAAGTTTAACATGAAACAATAGAGAGTTTAAGATTCTCGTTTACGGCAAACGTGAAACGTCAGTTAGTTGACCATTAAAAAATTCTTTAAAATTAGTGAAAAGGAATCACAAAAATCTCCAAGTAGTAGATAAACAAAATAATACTTGTCTTTGTCGACTAGGTTTGTAAAAGGTAAAGTGAAATGTAAGGAAACGATGAAAACGTGGTCACGTTTGCCGTTTGCGGGAAGGAAAAACGGGAATCTTAATCTGCCTAATAACCAAGTGAAAGACCTACAATAAAAGTCAATCCATTGAGGAAAATTGAAATTGCGCTCAAAATCTCGGAGCCAATGACAACGATTTTGTAAAAGTGCATCATAAGAACTCTTTGAACAAATTGTTTTCATTTATCCAGGGCACAACTATAGAACTTTCAGCTTTGTAATTTTTTTATTTTAATGACTGATTAAGGGTACTCTTTTTCTTTTTCCAGCTCCTGGCTTTACCACTATTGTCGGAGGCCGACCAAAAGCGTAAGAATCTTTTACTCCCTAACTATTGGTATAATGATTTGATAAATAGGCTAGAAAACTCACTGCGTGTTGTTATAATAAATTCTACCCAGAATTCGTAGGGCACAAAACCTATAAATACTGGTCGCATCTGAGTGTTTAAACAATGCGGTACCCTACAGATTGTTATATGACCACGTGCCGATCGGTAACCATATCGCATGCTCATACCTGAACCTAGCCTGTGGCGGATTTAGGGGGGATTAATTGGGTGCAAATGAACCCCCCCCCCCCCCCCCCTGGCTGGTACCTTGGATTTTTTATATTTTTTAAAATAAATAAATAAATAAAAGCATGGTACTAGACTGGTGGATAGGTTATCCTTATCAGGAGCGCCCCTAGGCCAGTGATGTGCCTCATGGGAAAAATGATGATGCAAGA